TCGAGAGAAAACTCTTGTAAGCGCCCTTTCTTGGGTGCCGATTTTTTTGAAATAAATACGTCAGCCGAGAAAACAACGTACACCAGAGGTTCCTGATAGATATTATCCAAGTCTCTAAACCCTAAGCCCAAAGCCCTTATCACTAAACCCGAAACCCTCAACACTACACTCTAAGCACTCAGCACTAAGGCCTCAACACTAAACCCTCAATAACTTGACCCTAAGCCCTTAGCACTCAACCAACACTAAGCATTAAACCCTAAACACTTAAACGCTAAACCCTACAGACTATAAACGCTAAACACTAATCCCTAAACACGAAACCCTAAACACTTAAACACTACAGCCTAAAGCATAAACACCAAGCCCTAAACATCCGGAACCCTAAGCCCTACTAAACCCTAAAGCCCAAGAGCAAAAAACAGTCGGGGTTTCACATGTTTAGGGTTTGGACTTGAGAGTTTAGGATTCATAAGGTTTAGGGTCGGAGAGCATGGCCTATCGGGCTGCAGACGGCAGCTGACGGATTCCCGAGTCTGCGAGAGAGAGAGAGAGCGAGAGCGAGAGAGAGAGAGAGAGAGAGAGAGAGCAGAGGGAGAGGGTGTTAGATCTTATCCAAGCCGCTTAACCCCAAACCCGAAACCCTTAAAAAAACACCTACACCCTAAACACAAAACACTAAACCTTGAACCCCCTAAACACAAAACCCTAAATACTACGTAAACCCGAAACAACAAATCCTGAACCCTATACACTAAACCCCAAAACCAAAGACCTGTCGGGATTTCAGTTCTTTAGGGTTTTTAGAACTTAGGAATGACAAGTTTTTGATTAACCCTAAACCCGAAAACAAAACCCGGAACGTGAGAAATGCCGCTCCGCAAGCTACTTGCGCTTAAACGCGGCGCGTTTAAGCGCAAGTAGCCTTTTTGCAGCGCAGATTTGCCCAAACCTGCGGCGTGGAAAGGGCTACTTGCGCTTAAACGCGGCGCGTTTAAGCACAAGTAGCTTGCGGAGCGGCATTTCTCACGTGTGATTTCCGTTTTCCGGACTTCCACGTCAGAAAGGGTGTAGCGTTAAGTCTTTAGGGTTAGGGGGTGGGTGTTGAGGGTTTAGTGCTTGGTTTTGCGGGGGTTTAGGGTTTTGTTTTAGGGTTTAGGGTTAAGCAAAAACTTGTCATTCCTAAGTTCTAAAAACCCTAAAGAACTGAAACCCCGACTTGTCTTTGGTTTTGGGGTTTAGAGTATAGGGTTCAGGATTTGTTGTTTCGGGTTTAGGGTTTAGTGTTTAGGGTTTTGTGTTTAGGGGGTTCAGGGTTTAGTGTTTTGTGTTTATGGTTGGCCTGTAAAAACAGTGCAAATGGCTGTTCTTGGCTCCAAAACCACAAGCCGAACGCATTGTCTTTCAACAGAAGAATGCGTTTGGCTTGCAAACACCATACCAATGGCTCTTTTTGGCTCCAAAACCACAAGCCGGGCGCACTGTCTTTCAACAGAAAATTGAGGCTTGTAAAGACCGTACAAATGGCTGTTCCTGGCTCCAAAACCACAAGCCGAACGCATTGTCTTTCAACAGAAGAATGCGTTTCGCTTGCAAACACCATACCAATGGCTTTTTTTGGCTCCAAAACCACAAGCCAAACGCACTGTCTTTCAACAGAAAATTGCGGCTTGTAAAGACCGTACAAGTGGCTGTTCCTGGCTCCAAAACCACAAGCCGAACGCATTGTCTTTCAACAGAAGAATGCGTTTGGCTTGCAAACACCATACCAATGGCTCTTTTTTGGCTCCAAAACCACAAGCCGAACGCACTGTCTTTCAACATAAAATTGCGGCTCGTAAAAACCGTACAAATGGCTGTTCATGGCTCCAAAACCACAAGCCGAACGCATTGTCTTTCAACAGAAGAATGCGTTTCGCTTGCAAACACCATACCAATGGCTCTTTTGGGCTCCAACACCACAAGCCGAACGCACTGTCTTTCAACAGAAAAATTGCGGCTTGTAATAACCGTACAAATGGCTGTTCCTGGCTCCAAAACCACAAGCCGAACGCATTGTCTTTCAACAGAAGAATGCGTTTGGCTTGCAAACACCATACCAATGGCTCTTTTTTGGCTCCAAAACCACAAGCCGAACGCACTGTCTTTCAACCGTACAAATGGCTGTTCCTCCAAAACCACAAGCCGAACGCATTGTCTTTCAACAGAAGAATGCGTTTCGCTTGCAAACACCATACCAATGGCTCTTTTTGGCTCCAACACCACAAGCCGAACGCACTGTCTTTCAACAGAAATTGCGGCTTGTAAAGACCGTACAAATGGCTGTTCCTGGCTCCAAAACCACAAGCCGAACGCATTGTCCTTCAACAGAAAATGCGTTTGGTGGTCTGTAAACGCATTACAAAATGGCTGTTCTTGGCGACGGCTACAATGGTTGGTCACATGAGCAGCTACAGACCATAGGGGATTTCCTACGAGCAGTGGCAGACTGCAGAGAGTCAGTGACGAGTGTTTCAAGAAGATGGCCATCTACGACGAGCGAGCCGGCCAGAGAGCCGAACAGCCAGTCAGCGCAGCAGGCCACCCCATTGAAAGAGGGCTATGAGGCCCCGGTGAGTGGTCTGGTAGACCGATGTTACTCATGGTATGTATATATCCATACGCATGGCAAATATGTCGCATCTGCGTTTGATTTTTATTGTGGTGCCACCCCTCATTCATCTTTGGTATATATGTACTTCAAAGGTTCAAACTCAATTGGTTATGTATTCTCAGATTTTTCACCTCCATCCTTGCACCGCCCCCTATCTCTTGCTTCTCTCTTTCTTAAGTCTCGCTGAAAAACATGCAAATACATGTATTATGATAGAACGTATGCTTTGTCCTTCACTATTGTACATGATCCATTCAACTGACTGGAAGAGTCTATAAATGTAGTGGTATTCTTTGATGGTTTTTTTTGTGGCAGGTTTGTTCATGGCAATGCCCCCATTTGCAACGCCCCCTTCTGGGATCGCTATATAAGAAGACCGCATGGTCTGCAGTGTGTTTCCGTGAGGCAACATCTAGCACCTCTTATATCCTCTTATTCTTGACGTTGGACCCCTTTAGGGATCTGAGTGCCTTAGTGCTGGCACACTGTTTGGGGAATAAACAGTTCAGGGGCAGCGGACAAGGCCTTATTGACTATTGGAGCTGAATCGCCTTGGAGACCCCAGAATCCCTCACTTTCCCGGACATGCCCAGTAGCTGAAGCACGCATTGTTGTTGAGAGGATCCAACCTCCGACTGCGGTACTACGCCCGCTTCCGAGAAGTGACTGGAGAGAATAGAATCCTTGGGACTGACAGCAATCTTGAGTTGCTTCAGATGCCGCAGAAACCCCCCAACCGTGAAACCCTAAAGCCTCGGCACAATTTTAAGTCGAGAAGTGTACCAAGCCGAAAGCCCCGCAACAGCCGTCAGCTAGGCGACGCAACAAAAGAACACCGTGAAAGCGCAAACGTAGAAGCACCTTGAGCTTGAGGAACTCAGGTGCCAATGCTCCACATCCATTGCATAGTCCCGGGCAGGGGGGGCAAAGAACACCCGCCTCTCAAAACCACACTCACTGCTTTAGGGTTCTTGTACAGGCCGCACCAAAGGATACCACTGTAGAGTTTTGCGATAAAAGGGAGGCAAGGCGTAGGCAAGGCGTAGGCAAGGCTTGAATTGGGCAACGGCACTGTTGTGAATGGTGGCAGTTCTGGTTCTGAGCCAAAAGTTTGTGGTTTCTGTTAATGACGGATCGGATGTTTTCCTGTGTTTTTCCAACTTCAACCCGCATCGTCCCAGGTGGGCCACCAGAAGTCCAAGGACCGTGAGCAGGGCCCTCGCCATGAAATGTCTTCATTTTCAGAGCCTTTCGAGCTCAGGGTTCCCCATCCCGGGTCCGTAACAAGGGCTTTGAGGCGCTTTGAGGCGCTTGAGGCTTTGGGCGCTGCGCTTTGGGAACTCAGGTGTTACTGGAGCATGGGTTCCGAAGCCGCCTCGCTTTGGGCGCGGCGACCCAGTGCAAGGGCCTGGGATCTGGGAATCCAAAAAGCCTCGGGATGCCTAAGCCCAATGCCTGAGCACGTATGACATGCTCAGCTACATGAATAGAGAACGAATCTCCATTAGACGCCCTGAGCACAGCTCGCCCCGAACAAGCCTAAGCGCTCGAAACATACCCCAAGAGGAGAGTCGGGAGTCGATGTAAGGCCTACGCCGCTTAAGCCGTTTTGCACCCTCCTTACACTGACCCCCCAAGATGTGACGGGTTCAATCCCTGCTGAACATCTCAACTCTCCCCCAAACAGCCAAGTAGCGAAAGCCCAGGCACCGGATGGAGAGCGGCCACCCGAACAGGTGCCAGGGCAGATGCCGCCCAAACACCCCCCCCCCCCCCCCCCCCCCCCCCCCGCCCCCCCCCCCCCCAAAGCCCAAAACCCGAGCTCCGGGGGTAATTGAAGGCCTGCTTCAGGACTTCGTGCTCAGTAAGGCTGAGCCATTTAAGAACGCTTGCTTGTCAGCTTTTCGGGGCCGCTGCTTGAAGGTGCTGCAGATGAAGCCAGAGGCCGGCCTATGCCTTGAGATGTCGACATGCCACCCTGGGCCCAGACTACCCATGGCCCCCTTCGGAAATCAGGGCGCAGCCTCGCGCGCAGGACTACCTGACAGTTGGCGTGGAGATTTTTCGAAACAAAGGCCGGGTCAAAAGGCATTCCTTTGCTCCGGGAACCCACCCGAAGCTGTACACTTGATCGAGGGTTGACCCGTGGTCATGCCTGGCCAGCGACAGAAGTTCCCGGTTCAAGCGTCTCTCAGATCCTGCTGCAAGCCATGCTGTGCGCCTGCTGTCCAGCCAAGCCCAACTGCTGTCTCGCCAAGCCCAAGCCACAGCCGTTGGGATCTTATGAGGTATCGTGTTCCTCGCACGGGATGACATGGTGTGCTTAGTATTGTGTGCAGTGCACTAGGTCCTATGAGCCGCTGCAGCTCACGGTGTCCTTGCTGTCCGGGGTACCCCTTGCCACACTCACCGTGGAGAGTTGCATGCAGGCCGGGCGTGTCCAACAGTTTAGAGGCTCCTTCGGGTTGAAAGAGGCTTCAGGGAGTTGAGGGTCCTGTCTGGCTCATTTCCATGGTGACGTTGGCGACCCACTCCCCCCCCCCCCCCCCCCCCTGACCCTTGAACTCCTGGTCATTGGGTTTTTTGGTCCCCTGTGGTCCGGTTTCCTGCTGTGGTGCTGGGTTCCTCGGGTGCCCTGGTTTTTTTATCCTTTAGCCTTCGTCCTCTAGTCCGGGTCCACGATCCTCTGCTTCCTAAGGTTTTCTGGTCCACTATGCGTCAAACAGGAACAAAAAGGACACCAACGAGAACAGGAACACCAGTTGCAACAATAGCAACTAAAACAAACCGACGGCGGCGGCGGCGGCGGCAGCGGGCGCGGCGACGGCGATCGGCGACAGCAGCGAACGAGACAAGGACAAGCACGACAACGACAACTACAACTACCTATGCACACTTGCTTCATAGAATGTCGTGCCATCAATGACCCGTCATCTTTGCAAGCCCATCATACGAGCATTGCGTTTGCAATTGGGGGGGGGGGGGGGCAACCCCTGCTCTTTCGAGCTATGCAAGCTTGCTTCATAGAATGGCCCGCGTTTCCAAACCCATCATAGCAAGCTTGCGTCATAGAATGGCGAGCCGTCAATGGCCCATCTTTCCAAACCGATCTAGTATGAGCAACCCCTCCGCTCTTTTACGATGCAAAGTGGCTGAAAGCCTCAAGCTGTGTGTAATCGACAGCTTTTGGAGTCTTGAAACAGATAGGAATGCTGGATATGAGGGAAAACGAGGCAGAGCCAATGTAAGTGGAAAAGCAAGCATCTCCGCTACAAACGCAAAACCCCCCCCCACCCCCCCAAAGCCAACACAAAAGCAGATGAAGCGTGTGTGCACACACACACATGTGTTTTTCCTGACGGGGGGGGCTCCTCAGGTCCAGGTTTTCAAAGAGCGCCTGGAGAAGTCAGAGGGGATGGCGCCGGGCTGCTGGGTCTCATCGCTGATTTGCGGCGCAGTGGTGCTGGAGGACTTGTGCATGCGCAAGAAACTCTTGGTGACCCAACATGTCTACTGTAGGAACCGGCACCCGAAGATCGAATCTAAAGCCCAAAGCCCCAGCTGAGCTGAAGGAGGGGACGTTGGAAGAGGCAGGGTTGGAGAACGGGGCGGAGCTCGTTGCCATCTGCTCAGAAGAGATCCGTGGTGACTTTGAGGAGTTCGAGCCGGGCTGCCCCACCTGCGACTACAACACCAAGCTGCACCGGCTCAGCTTCAAGCCAGACGGCATTGTCTCTGTTCAAGTGAGCTTCCATAAGGAGCCGGTGATGTGCCGGTACTGGATGGGGGAGCTTCGAGAAACGACGCGGGGATACGACAAGTCGCTGGAGTTCACAAGGCTCGACCCAGACTCAAACGGCGTCCCCCAGACATTCGCAGGAACACTGCACCTCAGCGCACGCAGCGGCATCCGCCGTTCCATCGCCATCCCAGACCTGAAGATGCAGGTGAAGGACCTGCGCTGGCTCAAGGAGATGGGGCAGGAGATGCAACAGAAGCGTTTGTGGTCACTCATGTGGGAAAGGGAAATGGCTCCGCTCACACCGGAAGAGAACCTCGACTACCGAAACGGCCTGATAAAGTTCCGCCTCGACGGCCGAATCGAGTACCGCGACAGCCTCATCGACTACCACGAAGGCCTTGTGGACAAGCAGATGTCATGCCGAGGCCGTGGCAAGAGAGGCAAGCTGGCAACTGGCAAGTTCCACAAGGCCTGCTGGGTTGCCAACAGAGATATTCTAGGGCCGTGACATCGGACCTGCTGCTTGTACTTCGAATTCTGTGATTCTTCGGAAGAACCGCTGCGGGATGGAAGTGTAACCTGAAAGATAAGGACTTGCACCTCGGGGGGCCTGCCAGGTGGCGAAGCATTTGTGTGGCCGATGTTTTTTTGTTTTGGGTGGGGGGGGGGGCACAAAAAGCCGTGAACCCTTTGCAGATGGCAGCGGCGCAGAGGGTTCGGATGTGTGCGGCTGCCCGCCTCGAAACCCCTGGCTGCGGCAAGCCCAAAGAGGAGAAAGGCTCTGAAGGCCCCGACCCCCGGACAACCTGTGAGTTTGTGTTCTGGCCCGCTTTGGGGTTTGCCGCCACGATGTGGTCACGGCATGTCGCCACACGAGTTTGGACACACGTCCTTGAGTGTAGCCATCTGTGGACTTGCCTCTTTGCACCCAGGTCTCCTTTTGGTTGCTTTGTAGACGGTGTGCTGGCTTGCGGTAGGCCGGCTCACTTGCGTTGGACCCCCATGCCCTTGGCCCGCAACATGTCCTATCATTGGGCTCGTAACTGGGTGTCAGAAAAAGCCCTGAGCCGCGCACGTTTGTTTGGAGGAGTGCATGATTTTTTCACGAAGAGCCCGGGACCTTTCTGCTCGTGGTTGTTGTGTTGCCATGTGTACCCTGCGGACTTGCCAGCCAGGTGGGCAACTTAGAAAAGAACCAAAGGATAACCGGGCACTGGGGTCAAAAAACAACAGCAAGACCAATGCTTGTCGCTGGCCAAAGCGTCTAAAGCGCTGCAAAAAACATGGTGATGCCCTGTGTCTATAGTAGACAAGTGTGCGCCAGCGCCAAGTTCTGGCTGCTTCATAGCCAGACCTTATGAGGAGCCGGCGACAGCTGAATGCTACCAGGCGGACAAGCACAAGGCATGCCACGGCCGCAAGAGAGGCAACCTCTCAATGGACAAGTTTCAGAAGGCCGGGGGGCTTGCCCGAATTGTCGGGCATCTGGCTTGCATGTGAGACACTGGTACCTACAGGATGTCGGAGTCGGGTCTTCCTACTTCAATCCAGGGCGTTTCGTGTTGCCTCATTGCCAGAGACCGCCGAGAGTCCGACATCCCAGGAGGAGGCGGCCCTGCGTCTACAGAAGATGGAGGCTGAAGACGTAAAGCAGACATACATGCGATAATCTGGTACGTTTTATGAGAAAGATTGTACTATGCTGGACTGTAGGTGCTACATATACTAGAAATAGATAAACCAAAAAGTCCGCATAAATATCAATATAAGGAGCAAATATACATATAAATATAGATATGATTATAATATACAAGCCCAGATGAGGATGTTTTAGGGTGTGGCTTTCACATACAGAATTCCAATTAAGCTTCATTACGAATACGTGCCAGAAGGGGACCTCATAGGGTGTGGTGTGCAGTATGAAATTCTAACTCGATCTAATTGCGAATGTGGCCTCTGAGTATGCACTTGTGTTACTTGGGCTGAATTCCGAACGAATGCAGATGAGGATTTCGTATGGTGTGGGTAAATAATCCAAATTATGAACGGGGACCAAAGGAGGATTTCATGGGTGCGGTCGGTAATATAAAATTCCAATTGGACAAGAACGAATGAGTCTTAGAAGAGGATGTCTTGTAAATTTGTTTTACTTGGGTTTATTACTAACGAATCGGTGGCTTAATCATATACAAGTCTATTGACATCTCAGGAAGACGCCCCAGAAGAGGATTTCATCAGATGTGATAGAATTCGTTTCTTAGGGTGTGGGCTTCTTATATAAAAACAATTTTTTCAATAAACCACGAAGGAAGCCCAGACGAGGATTTCTGAGGCTGTAGCCTCTGCATGCAAAGTTCATATGAAATTTGGTTACGAACAGGCAGGCCCCAGAAGAGGATTTCATAGGCACGGCCCCTTAATAGGCAAACTAAGATTTCTAAGCTTTAGAGTTCTAAGTATACAGGCCAGAGGAGTCTCTAAGGGTATGGCCGGGCCTTTTGACATCAATTCTGAATTCGGTTTGCATGCCAATTTGATGTGCCCGAAAGCAGATCATGGGGGCGGATGGGCAAACAACAAACAAATATAGACATGGAAATAGCTATAGCTTTAGATATAGATATAGATGTGTTTTTGGAGGACTCACGACAGAGGCGGCGTCTGACCAAGGCGAGAAAGGCACACAGGCAGCAGCATGGTGATTATTGGGTCTGGTGAGTGACCAACAGAGGTCACCCACACCGATGTACAGTTTGGAGTTTGCGTCGGTTACGGCACGGCTCGCAGTTCGATACAGACAGCCTTTGTGCAGGCTGTTGAAGAGATTGCTCGACTTTCTCTGACTAATGTTTCAGAGAGGATTGTACAGATGATGCAGATGATGCAAAACGTAAGTTCCCCAAAGTGCAGGGAGCGCCCTCATATCCGAGCAGGTCCAAGGGATGTTGTTCGAAAGTTTAACGCTCCGGAGTCATCAGTTCGGCCTTCGTTGCCAGATGAGTGGCATTCCATATGAGGGCTGTTTCAGATCATTCTTGGCTGCAGCAAGCTTCTTACGCTTCAGTGCGAGGGAGCTCCCGGTGCGTCGGGAGGCGTTGTGCATGGAAGACCTGGCGTCATCAAGGTGCCTGAAGGCCTGGACCTGAGCCGCATACGTTAGTTTTGTGCATGCGCTTAGTGGCTGCTGTTCTGGGATTGCATGGAGCAAAAACTGCAGTGCCAAGAAACATCCTCAGCCCTTTCAACAGCCCGAAGGTGCGAGAACTCCAGAATCTCAATGTGGCGCCCTGATTATAACCATAAGGCAGAGCCCCTAGTCCAAACCGCAAGGGAACGAAGTGCGAACCCGAAACCAGAGACAGCCCGGGCAGAAGAACCGTGACACACATGCCTTCTACCCAGAACATTTTTTTTCTAGGCCGGAGGCGGGCTTTAGCAACCTTTAAACTTGAAGCCATGCATCCTCGCCGTGCCTCCCACAGCAGGCTCGCGCTTCCACGTTCGCCCCAAGGTCACGCAACAAGGCCTGAGGATACGGGGATCTACAGCCTAGGGACAGTTCAATTGAGACTTTTTTTGGCGACGGCTTTGAGTCTTTGAAGCAGATTGGCTGGCAGTTGCTTTTTGAGGCCCACAGGTGAGGGGGGGCCGAGGGTTTCGAAGAAATCAACGGCAAAACCAAGCAACATGGCCCCTTGAAAAAGTCTGAGTCTCATGGACAGGCACGCCGGCGCCCAAGACGTCCAAGATCCTCAATAGGAACATCAACGTGAGCGCCGGCAGCCTGCCAAAGGCGGGCTCTTCTTTCCAAGGTAGACTGGGTAAAACCATCGAGGTGGGGATTGGGTCCAAAGTAGCTAAGTAGCTGGTCCGAGATGTTCTGTCAATGTTCCCTCTTGAAAAAGTCTTTGAAACACACGACGCATCGAAGGGGCGGCAGCTTAAGTACGCTGCGGAAAGTTGCGGCCTTTACAGTAACTTTCCATCCAGCAACGGCGTGCAAGCAACGATCAAATCTTCGCCTGACAGCTGATCGGTGGGTGGGGTTTTTGGCCGCAAGTTCCGACCCTGACGGCGAAAAATCGCCTCTTAAGATCTCTTAAGCTAAATATGCTTTCACAGACGCGGTGGTCTATCCCATGGTTGCTCTGTTTGCTTCAACAATGCATGTTTGGATCAGGTAGGCGTTGCGACGTTTACGTGTCGCACCTTGTTGCCAGGTTTCCATGACAGGCTTAAGGCTTTTAGGGGAAGACCTGCTTGAAGTGATAGCTGGTGGTCCATCAAAAGCAAAGCTTGGCATGCACCGCGCAGACGAATCTGGTGCACTGATGAAAGTTGCGAAAATGAAGTGAATCACTTAGGCACCGGTGCAGTAATTGCGTCGCCTCTTTCTCCTCCTCCTGTTCCTGCTACTGCTGTGTATTCTGCGTCTGCTGCTGCTGCTGCTGCTGCTGCTGCTAGCGCAAGTTAATGCATGTTCGCAAAATCGTGCATGTTCATGCCGGCGCTGTGCAAATCTGACTTGTTAAGTTTTATCTAGAGCTGCCGCTCGAACATGTGCATCCTGTTCAGGTACACAGTGCGCCCGCCCAGTTCAACAAGACCAAGTCTCTTCTCCATACCGCATCGGTGCTCGGAGCTCAGGATAGTAGTGACAGGGAAGCCATGTGAACCCTTACTTCGAGCCAGTGTGAACACAAATTGTCGAGCGAGGCCTTTGTCCAGCATCGGTCCCTTAACACTCAGTCCGATCTTTGCGTGTTTGTTTGCGGCTACGCAAACCATGCAAACCCAACTAAGGTCCAACTTGCACACTTCGAAGCTGTGTTGAGCCTGCTTGGCGCATATTGAGGCTAGGGGGGGCTGGAAGCCTGAGGAAAAACTTCGGGATCTACGCCGGAACCGCGCTTCTATGATTTCTGGTAAGCCCCGAGAAAAGATGAAAAGATGTCCCCATAAGCTCGCTACATTTCAGTGCATTTTCTTGTGCTCTCGATTTTCGCAAAAGAACTCAAATTATTTAGCTGTACTTATAGGGCCTTTAGGCCGCTGTAGTCATTCATTCACCTGTGAAATTATGGGGGCTCCTATTAGTCTGATGATTTCAGGCCGAAGGTAAGACACATCATCTTTAGTCTTGAAGCGATTTCCTCACGAGTCGGTTTCCTTGTTCAAACAGGCTTAGATGCACGGGTGAGCTCATGAACACCTGGATTATTCACCCCCAAGCCTTGGTAAATAACAGCTGATCTGGGCTACGCCCACACACTGACCTCTTCAGCTCCACAAGATCAAGCAGAAGTTCCCAAGCCCCAAAGCCACGTGTTTCACCGCTCGCTCACGGACCCTCCAAGAGGGAACGCCGCTGAGCAAAAGGGCAAAAAAGGTGAAAGGGCTTTGGGTTGCAGTGTCGGGTTTCAGGGTTCAGGGTTGGGGACACAAGGATTTAGGGGTGCCGGGGGTGCTGCGAATGCACGCTGCAGAGGCAGGAGCTTGTTGTTGGGCGTAGTGGTTTAGGCTTCAGCCGATGAAACCCAACATTCCCATGGTCCTCTCCTTCCTTGTCCGGGCCCGAAACCACGCCCCGACCCCAGAAGCATTTGGATCTCAGCTTTTATGGCCGTGCAGGGGAAGGGTTTCGTTTACATGCTCGCATTTTGTAGGTGTGGTGTGCCTGCATTTCCTGCGTTACGGGACATGCCTTCCCATGCTGCTCTAAGTGGGGGCAGTTCTTGAGCCTGTCGACCGCACCAAAGGTTGCAAGTCGGGAAGGCTCAAGAGCAGATGGAGCGCGTCACCTTTCCCAAAAGCTACCCAGCAATGCCGAACCAAGCCTTTACTGAACAAATCGCAGGCAACCCACGAACCACCGAAGCTTTTACCTCCCTATAGACTACAGACGCCAAGCCCGGGTTCAAAGCTGCGCTGCTTAACCTCTCAACCTCCATCTATCCTTCCATACTATCTACCCTCCCATACCCAGCTTAAAGCCGGCAAAGACCAACGCGCACAGCAAACACACCCAAATCTGTCTCCGACTCAAACACACCAGAACTCCAAGCCAAGAACCCTCAGCCCCACGCTCAACCCTAAAACCTATCCCTCGAAAACTCCGAAACCCCCAAGCCTCTAACCATGGAGCCGATGCGCCCTTCAACTCCACCGGGCCCGCGGTAGGCAGATGTTTCGTAGGGTTTGTGGGGCTTGGGAGAAAGAATGTTTGATGGAGGGGTACCATGCGAGCTTGTCGGTTTGTAGGGTGGCAGGGTTCCGACCGTTGGGGCTCAGAGGGCCAACGCCTCTAACCTCACAGTGCCCCAAAACCCGAAGCCCTTAACCGCAAAGCCTGGCTGCTAAATATTACTACACCCCCATGATGGGATTCGGAGCGTCGTGTTTCCGTTGTGTAAGTTAAGTTGTTTGAATGGTTGCCCAGAAAAGACTCGAGTTGTTGAGCTGAGGCGATTGAAATAATTGCAATTCGTCTGTCATTCCGACAATTGTTACCCTGCAGTGCGGCTGTGGTTCGTATTATACTTTTATCTACTTTTGTATATTGTAGTATATTGTATTATATTGTATTATATTATATTATAGTATATTATATTACATGATTTAGTTCACAGAGTATTGTATGAATGTGTTTACTTTCGAAGAATGGGTTCGAATGGGCCTTTCTTCCCTCTTTTGGGGTATTGCTTGGGAAGAGTCGGAGCTCAAGGTTTCAGAGCCTTCCCCCTCACTGTTGCGCTCTCGCTTTCTCTTCTTGTTTCCTTCTCGCCCTTGACTTGCAAAGCACCTAAGCTTCACCTGGGTGGGGGGTTTCCTTCGCAACTCCACCGACTCGAAAACATTTGTTGGCAGGTCTTGCAGGGCGTCGCGCCTCCACAGCAAATGCAGGCCGGGTGGCACGATTTTGCGCCAACCTGATGCGCGTAGAGCATGTAGAGCTCAAGGTCTGAGGATCCTTACTCACCTGTTGGAGCACGGCAGGGCTATGCCTCTCAAGAAGATCCCGAGCCGAAGGCGGATGCATCGGGCCGTGGCATAAGGTTAGCTGACGCTACTCGTAGCTGATGTTAGAGCGGTCCTCCACAAGTCCACGAAGTGCCGTTATGCATTCTTGAGGCTGCTCTTGAGAACCATCGTCCCGATGACTGCACCTCCAAGCATAGTGTGTGTGGGGAGTTGCGTGGTGCATGAAGCCGCGTTGATCACAGTGACCTAGTGCTTGTCAGAAGGGCCGGGACGTTGAAGCCAACTCTCCAGTGGCAAGCAGGCGCTTCTTGCACAGATGGAGGCCTTGGTCCAGGCCCGTGATGTGGCTATTGCAATGTTGAAGTTCAGGTTTTACAGAGGTAGCTGCTTAACAGCAAGCCATCAAGGTCTTTGAAAGTGGTGCAGAGATCGCTCCTTAAACCGACCCGTGGCCGATGCCGGCTCAGTGACGACGAAGCATGTTGGCGGGAACCTTTCACCTGAACAGACAGCCTGTTTGTTTTTTGGAAAGCCTGGCCACATCTTGCAGCCCTCCTACCTCATCTCCCCCTGTGCCACATCTAGTGTTTCGTAACTGGTACCCCCCTCCCCCCCTCCCCCTAGCTGGGATGGCTCCAGATGGCGAACGAGACGGGAGACAGGACAGAAGGGGAGACCGGCGCTTGTCCGCCGGGCTTCTTCCGAGCCTCCTACGTGGTGTTCAGCTGCCTTGGCGGCCAAGGGCGGGCCCACTTCTACCACATGCCAGGCACAGATAGGCACAGATAGGATCGGTGCCGTTGAGTTCGGTTTGGTTTGGTTTTGCCATTTGGTTTGGGAGCTCTTGCTATTTTTTTAGGGTTTTGCCGTGCCGAAAGAAGCACTTTTGGACTGGAAACGATGCCTCAACAGCCCCAAGCAGGTCAGACGATGATGATCCAAGTGCCACAGGGCGTGGAAGATCTTACCGTTCATGTCGAGCTAAACGAATCATCGGCCGGAGTGAATGTTGACCTGGAGTTGTACGACGCCGGACCAGACAAGTTTCTGGTGAGCCACAGAGACGGAATCGTCAATGATGAGCAAACGGAGGGTCAGCAACCCGACAAATGCAGGGGAGGTTCCCGGGGAGGTCGGCTCTTAGTGGGCCACGTTTGCACTTGTGAAAGCCATAACCGGCGACGACCCCCGAAAACCGAGAAAGTAGAAAAAGCACCGACCGACTGAGGCCCTAAACCAGTCAGTTTGTTAGACTTAGACGGGTTCAGGGTTCGGGCTTCCCCCGCAGTGTCCGAGGTTTGGGAACCTCGCTCTGCTCTACAGCGGCACGGCGGCAGGTGAATGGCTCGAGGCATGGCTTGCCCTTTCAAACCTTCAATGATGATTCTTTGTGAGTATTTTTCACAATTATTACTATTGTTGTTATGTTGGTATTCTTCATCATGTTATGCTTATTGTAACACAGACAGACGCTCCAACACATCGATGCTCAGACATATCGAAGCTTCCGGCCTGGCCCGACCTCGGCACCAGGTTCGTGGCCGCTTTCCATCGGACATGCTCCTGCTGATGCGCTGCCAGAGCCTATGGCTCCCTTAGCTAGGGTTTAGGGGTCCGAGGCTTTTCCTGAGAACCGATGCCATTGCTTTGCATGCCCTCTGCATTCCAACAATCCCGACAGATCCCAGGAGCGGCCCTCCAGGATTCAGCGAGACGGTGCTGAAGTACAGCGCCTTGCCTCCACTGCTGGGGACGTGTGGGCCCAGAAGCCTTAACGGCCTTAACGCATCCGGAATCTGAACAGCAAAAACGTGCAAATCATGAGAGAGCCAAGGCTACGGGGACATCAGCCCCTGCCCGGAGGTGCCTCCAGGCTGTGAGGCCTTCAATGACACGGAGGCCACCCGGGATGTAGCCGCCTCCCGGCCGACGTCCTCCTGTTGAAGGTTGAAGGGGCGTGCAAGGCTGTGGCATTTTGAGGGGTTTTGGGGTTTCGAATGTTGCAGGGACCTCAGCTCGGGTTCAAGATGAAGCTGCGGGGCTGGGCTGGGCATTTTCGCTGTCGCTTTGCTCCCATGCCGCACTTCTTGTTTCCTCGGATGCCTCATAGGAGTAGCTGGGAGCTCGGCCTCAGCCTGGAAACAACCTCGGGCGTTGTGGCTTAAATCTCGAGTTGGAAGGAATACGCCCCAGTGGCCCGCACGAACCTCCGCTCCCCCCTAGCCCTGAACCCTCAAGCCCCTTAAACAATCCTCAACTTAAAACGAAACCTCTTCAACATCCAAAACTCAGGCTTGGCGCGCCTGGGCCTTGGGCCGATTCGGACTGGGGGGCCTTGAGTCCTTTGGGGTTTGCAGCATCCACAGGGGCACACAGTAAGGACGTGGCCTTCTGTTTTTTTTGAAGTGATGCCCGTGGACACGCAAGCCTGGCTAGGGGTGCGCCAGCGTCTAGATCTACTGTAGCATCCCAGACCCAAAAACCGAAACCCCGAGTCAAAGCTTCAGCAGGACTGGAAGAGAACTCCAGTGATGCAGCGTGGGAAGAGCTGGTCGCCCCCTCAGCCCACTGACGAGATCCATCACGATTGCAAGCTGTAGAAATGGCGAGGAAGGCCAGCAGCAGGCAGAAGGCCCCAGTAGGCCTGTGATGCAGTTGCAAAGGTCGCCCCTACGGCTGATGAGACAGGCGCCTGGAATCAAGTTGTCTGCTCGAGGGTGCTGGGTTCCGAGAGTTGCTTGTGTGGGCGAGGTATGGCACACGAGAACCTGCCCACTTCCGGACCCTTGAACATATTCCAATCCCTGAACCTTGAAGAGTCGCACGGGGCTGCAAGCTGCAGATAACCTGGGCCAAGTCGGACGAATAACACAAGGTCTCCCCCAGCTTCTGGGAGGTTCGGCCCGAACCCCTGAAGGGGTCGGCAGGCACCTTGCCTTGGAGCCGTTTCCAGAGCTTCTGGAACCATTGGCCTGAGGCGGGGTCGGTGCCTTACCAGACTTCTCTCAGTCTTCAAAAAGGCTCCCGCTTCTGGAGTTGGGGACTTGGGGTTGCTACCTTTGCAGGTGGGGATTGAAAGGGTTTGACCGGTGGCTGGAAGACCCTCCGCGTACGCTGTAGCGTGGTCTTTGTCAGACCAAGGTATCACAGGGGTAGTTCAACAGTCTTGCACATCCTCGGCGCGCAACTTTCTCCTTCATGGTCGGCGCATGGGGTTGGTGGGTCGCGTTTTAAATGCCAGATCATCATGGTTGGTTGACATGTTGAAGAGGCGTTGGGGGCCGACGTGGCTCATGAAGTCGTTAAGTCGTGATGTAAGACACACCCGGATCATGGGAATAAAGTATGTGGAGCCTGGAAGCTCGAAGATTCTCGAGAAACTTGCCTAAGAATCTTCGACCATTGTAAATTTGGTGCAGACAAGCATCAACTCAACACCGAACATCATTTGAATCGTGAGCAGCATCTGGTGCGATTCGTGCGCCCCGCGTGAATCGCACCAGATGTTGTCGACAGCACTAGAGGTTCGGGCTCAGGGGACGTCTGAGTTCGTGTATTCACTCTTGTGTGTATTGTTCCAGCGCAGAGTTTTTCCACATCTTGCGTACGATCAAGTCCTAATATGTCGAGTTACCCTTGTATTGCTGATGAGCAAACTTGGTGGACCTTTGATGCCAGGAGACGCCCTGGAAACCAGCTGCGCACCTCATCGATGCGGATGGGGACGCACGGATGAGCCGCGCGGAGTTCCAGGCAGCTTATGGCATCCCGGGGCCAGAGGCACCAGCCACTTCGTTTTTACGTTGAGTTTAACCCTCCTAGCCCTTTCGACGCGAGCTTAGGGGCATTTACTTGCAGTACCTCCCCTGCAGCACCTATTTTTCCTGAGCACTGGGCCCAGGTCAGACCCCCGGGCACGCGGATGGCTCACGAGCTTGAAAGCTGGAGTTTCTGGCTCATCGTCGTGGCCGGGGTGGCCACGGGCATCGCTCTCTTGGTCATCCTCTTCCGCTTGCACCTGTGTACCAGATGCCCAGACGAGGATAATGAGTTTTTTTTTAAATGGATGTTCGAGGCTCAGGGCTTCTTTTTGGTTTTGGGTTGCGATATTCTACTGTCTACTTCAATCCGGAGCTTGGCTTGACATGTTAGTATGCGGGCTTTTGCTTTCTGTGATCTCAGGAACAGGGCCCTCCTACAGCCCACTGCCGGGTTGCGAGTCTGAGGAGGAAGCCTCTGAGGGCAGCGCCACTGCCAGCAGTGAGGCTGTCGAGAGATCCATGGATGCCCCTGGAGAAGAGGGCGTGTCTCTTCAGCAACCCCTGCGCGCGAACAGCGCGAGCAGCGCGCCGGAGGCTACCGTCTCCGTCAGATCCCGCAGCAAACAGCATGAGCACCAGTGGATAAGCGAGCTTGAGTTGCTGCCCTTGCCAGCTGCTTTCGCACCACAGGTGCAATGGTCTTTTGAGCAAAGGCCAGCAGGCGAAGCGGGCCAGCCGCGATCGTCCCAGCCACGAAGCCTGCGTCAGGTCTTGGACCAAGGGTTTCAAACCGGAAACGCTGGAAGCCAAACGCCGCTGTACCCTCCTGGGAGCTTTGGTGCCATGCTCTCCCACACTGCCGAGTATAGTCGCTAATGGGGAGGCAATCCAAAGGTGGATGGGCCGGATGAGCTGTGACTTTACCGCATTGACCGCCAAGTCGGCGAAACCGCACATTTGCCGGTCCCAGTTTGGGAAAGCCTGGAGCTCTTAAGTCTCGCCGCTGCGAGTGGAGATGTGCCTGCACCAGATTGTCCGAGCTGTGAGAGACGAAGCCGCCGGCGCCATCGAACCTCCGCAGATCCAAAAGCCCGATCATCAGCTCAGCCTTATAAACCCAGAGCCCTAGTGAGTAGGCCCTAGTGACCCCAGCGTTTTCTGGAGGGGTGGGGGTTCTTTTTGGGTATATTTTTTGGTTTTTTTTTGGTGTTTTTTTTTGGTTTTCTCAACCCTAAACCCTAAGCCCTAAGCCCTCAGCCCTCAACCCTAAACCCTAAAACCCTAAAACCCTAAAACCCTAAAACCCTAAAACCCTAAAACCCTAAAACCCTAAAACCCTAAAACCCTAAAACTAAAACCCTAAATCCTAAACCCTAAACCCTAAACCCTAACCCCTAAACCCTAAACCTAAACCCTAAACCTAAACCCAAAACATACCCTAAACCCAAAAACATACCCAAAAAAAACCAAAACAAATACCCAAAAAAAACCTGGCTCCTTTCTGGAGCGCGGGTGGTAAAACAGACTCTTTCAATACAAAATTCTAACGGGGCTGGCAGCCCGTCGAGAGTAGTGTGCCAACGGTCAGCTAGGCAGATGGCGAAAACATCCGAATACTCTGAACTGGCAGAGCCCACTGACTGCCATCCAGCCAGGAGCTGCAAGACCTGGAGGACTATTATTTCAAGGCAGACAAGGACTCGGATCGCGCTTCTTGCAAGAGCCGTCTGAGTGCTTTGGGGCTCTGGATGACATTGCGCCCATTAACACACAAAAGCTAAGAAGCAAAAGCCCCGGAGAGGTTTTTCTCCCGGTCCCAACCCTGTGTGCAGGACACCAAAATCGCCAAGGCCAGGTGTGAGTATTGAGTGTACACCCAATATCGGGCACAAGAGCCAGGTATTCAATGCTGCCATGGAGATGTCGGACAAGCTGCTTGCGCAGCCGGTGTCCCGCCAGCAGGTGTAGCAGGCATGGTTTACATCTCAAAGCATAGGGCACCCCAAAGTGCGGACTTGGGCAAGATCTCGCAGCCCCGTGCCAGGATGTGAAGTCGCGAGCGTCAGCGTCTTAGTCCCTTTGTGTGTTTTCTTTTGCGCTGCGGCATGTGCAAGGCCAAGATCCCAGGATGCCGAAGCTATCTGGGCCCAGCAGACATTGGATACGTCACCTAGAGCCTACAGGGCCTACAGTCCTGGAGCCGAGTCCTCCCCACCGGGGCCCACCAGACATGATCTTGAGCGACTCGAGTTGGAACTCTGCCTCCTTGGCGTCCTCTACACAGCTGGAGCCCAAGAAAGTCCCAAGCAGGCAATACGGCAAGACCCACAATCCGGCCGCAATGACACACTGACCTCCCGAGCCTCCCATGACCAGTGGGCCGGCTCCCAGAGCAGCGCTTGATCAGCTGGACCGGCTGAAAGAGGTCCCGGCGGCCCCGGAGCGGCCAAGCCCTCTTCCACGCCTGCAGGTCGCGTTCCTCTGCTGCGTGGATGCGTCTCACTTCTACACCGTCTGCTCGATTTTCAGCAGCTCGGCAAGCATCGGCTAAGCGGGGGAATGCAGGGGAGTCACAGTAGTTACGGTTAATGCTGGTCTGGACTGTTGGATGTCCTCCTTGTTGGAGTCGAGCGCCTTAAGCTGCGAAGGCTATGCGGCGGTCCTCAGCGCAGATCTGCACTGGGTGGCCGATAGAAACGAAGCCGGTTTTGTGGCGGGCTGGCTTCAGTCTGCAAACGTGTTTCTGGGTCTTCATTCGGAACCTTTCCCATCTTTCCCATCCTTTCGCCTTGCAACGCTGAGAACACCTGCAATGGCCCCCCCCGATGACTCGAACATGACACTTGTAGTTCGAACATTGGGAGAAAGCCTCGACTTGAAGCAGTTTTGTTCTCCTTTGAGTGGCCCCCCCTAGTAAGCCTGTGATCGCCTTAGGTTCGGCCGTGTGCTGACGTCTACCGTGTGGGGGTTCGTGGCCATGCGATGGGGCTTTCGCCCCATCCTGGCTCTCACTTTGTTTGCGCTCCTTACTGGGGGAGTGCTGTGCTCCGGCTGGCGAAAGCACAGGAATGCCTTGGTCTTTCCATTTACGCGAGAACAACTTCAGTTCCCTCAATTGTTTGCCAATCTTTTGGGCTGAGGTTTGGTCTGTGCACCAACCTGATGGGCGCCATGTGCATACGCTTCATCTTTTTCGGCATGCTCCTGGGCTGTGAATCTTGAGACATGTTTGAGGAATGCTGATGATGTTTTGTGTTGAGCTGCCCAAGTTGCTGCTTGCCTGCGCTGCGGCTCTCTGTGTTATCTGTGTTAGAGCTGCTAAGAGGTGTCGCAGTTTTCTCATTTTTTGGCCTTCAGCAGCTCGCAAGAACCCAAGCAAGGTCGGAGCCCCTCACCCCCTCCCCCCAAATGACGGAATGCCGCTGAGACTCCCAGAGCCCCGGAGGCTGAACGGCTGGCCAGCCATTTATGGGCCGATTGCAGCTTCCGTGGCTGGGGACGATCGCCAGACGGATGTCATCGGCATGCTCCTGGCCGCGGGGAGCCTGGGCTGGCGCAGGGTTTGGGGTTCGAGTCCCATCAGGTTGTGCCACTGAGCATTGTGGTTTCTGGGGAGGGAAGGCGTGCGCTCTTGCATATTCACCTTTGCCTTTGTCGACGGAATGGGGGGTGTGGGCTTCATGGTGGGGGTGTCATGGCGCACATGGTTCGCCTCTTCTCTCGTTTCACGAAAGGTGCCGCAAAGTCTTAAATTTTCCAAGGAGTGGCATACCCGAAAGCACAAGAAGCTGAAAGTCTTGAAAACAACTTTTCCAAGGAGCGGCATGCAGCTCGTGGGCCCGGAACTCGGAGCTTGATCTGGAACATTTTCCATACTTTGATGTGGTGGTGCCGCTAATTAGGCCGGCAATAAAGTGTCAGCTCATCGCCTTTTGATCTTCAGACGCTTCCAGCCCTGAAGACCAAACTCGCCTAAACGGCTGCTAAACACAAGGCCGCATCCTGCACAAGAAAAGAGCCGTACAGGCAATTGGAGGCTGGACCTACAACTTCCTTCCGACCCTGCCGGCGCTGATCCCCAGCTTGATCGGTTGCATGCTCCTCGGCACGACTGTTGCTCAAGGTTGGGGAGCTTTTGGGGCTTAGGCTGACTGGCATTGAGGATTGAAGATCAGAGTTCTGAGGGCTCTTGTGTGCTTCCTCTCTGCGTCTTGCAGCTTGGTTGTGGGGCAGGCCTCCCGAGGCAATGCCCCCCACCGTGCTCGAGCATCGATAGCCCAAGCTCAAGCACATTCTGCCCGTAGACCAACAAGCCTGACCCGAACCCCTAAACCCTAAACCCCTAAATCCCTAAACCCCTAAACCCCTAAACCGAGAAAGGATGGCTCTGGCATCCCTTGCCTTGTTCTCTCGCGTGCACCACGGCATCCGGAAGCCCCAGGCAGAGGAGGCCAAGGACTGCCACAGAAAGCGGCTTAAGATGGTCGCTTTCTGCCACAGCGGGTTGAAGCTGTGGAAGTGGTGCTCAAGGCTCAGGCTTCTAAGATCCGGCACAGCAAGACAGTGGAATCATAGCTCCACCAACAGAAACAAAACGGCCCGCAGGACGTGGATCAGAGTCCAGGGACGCCCTCCAAGTCTCCAAGGACAGCATGGTCGGTCCTTCGAGCTTGGCCCGCACCCTTGGCAAAAGTCTGGGGGAGCTGGGATGGTTTGAGGACTCCTAAACCTAAACTCAGCTTTCTAGAGACCCTCTGTGGGGCTTCTTTCATCGGACGCCCCTGATTCACTGAGAAGAGCACAGCATGCCCTCCGCAATCTCCACCGATCATCTCCGCCTTAAGAATGTGCATGGGGAGCTGCATCCTCTAGCACAGCAGACTGTAAATCTCAAGTCAAGACCCAAGAAAGCCCTGTCTCAAGGTCCCCTTGGTGATCTTCATGCGGCTTTGGAACGGCTTCGCCCTTTTCGCCATCTTTGAAGCAGCGCCGCTGTGGCTTGTGTCTGATCGGGAATTGGGCGGCCTTGGAATGTCGGAGATGCTGGGAAGAGGAAGCAAGGTTCTCGGGATGAGTTCTGTTTGATCTTTCTGAGAAATTCGAAGTGGAAACAGCGGTTCAGTTTGCGGAGGCTTCAAGCCTGCAAAGGAAGCAAGTGGGTTCCCTTCTCTCCCGCTCGGGCCTCTGGAATCTCTTCTTCTTCTCCTTCGTGCTGCCTTACTTGGCACGAGCAGTTGGTGGCCGAGGGGTTTCGGCCATCTTCAGCGTGATCGGGGCCGCGGGCGCCACGCTACTGCCGTCGTCTACCTCGACGGTGGTGGCAAATGGCTTTCACCTCGACGCGTGGCGTGATTATTGCAGCGAGTGCGAGGAACGTGAGCACCAATTTGTTTGCTTAATGTGCTTCAACCCAACTTCATCTTTGCAGCTGTACACATTGATTGTGTATCGGTGCAGCTGTTGCGTCGGGGTGCCCTCATTACGGCCTAGGTGACCGCTTCCGCGATGATGTCCCAGGCTGCGATGAACATAACCTTCACAAACAATGCTGCAGGGCAGGCGGACCGGGCCGTCGTTACGGGCGTTGCGGTCACAGTCGAGACCATCGGCAAGGCACTCGGACCGATTCTCACTTCGACGATGTTTGCCTGGTGCCTTCGCCACTGGGGCTTCGACGGCCACGGAGCCGTCTTCTACGTGCTGGTGTCTTGGCAGAACCTGTCACTGGAAACAGCTTTCGGATTGTGAGAGTTTTGGAAGCAACCGCCAGAAGCCCTGAAGCCTCGTCCCGCTTCAGATCCCAATCAATTACCTCAACACCCCAGCTGTAGACATCAAGGTCTGCAGCACCAAAAGGGTCGAATAAGTCGAGCTGCACGTGATGAAATCCCAATCTGCTCCCAAACCCCCGCAGCCTTCACCCTTGCACCTTTTGAAGCACGGCGTCCAGAGGGTGTCACGCAGGCCTTAAAAATAAAACCCTCCCAAGTTGTAGGCGGCCTTCTCTGGCATCCAGCTCGCCTGCACCCTGCTTCTGCCCTCCTTCGTGGAGTCTCCGGAGTTCCTGCGCCGCCGGGGCCACGAGCTGGTGGCTGGGGCAGCTTTTTGTTGCGGCTTGTGGGGGCGGTTCCAGTCAGGGTTTTCATTTGGGGTGTGGACTCGTGTGGACTGTCTTTGATTTGGGCTTCGGCTTCTAACGCCTTGGCTTCGTTTACCGGGCTATCTAGGTTCTTTGAGACTGTTGAGGCCGTCGCGGCGGATAGGGGTTGACAGAACTCAGGGTTTGGGTTTTGGCGCTTGAGACACGGAAGCATTCTCCCATCGCCAAACAGATACGACCAGTCGCTTCGTAAGCATTGCGAGAAAGCCAAGGTCGCCGTGGAAGAGCCTCAGAAGGTGCGAGTGACCAAACTCGGTGTTGACATCAATCCTTTCGGCCGGTAGCTTTGAACGATGAAGTTCCATGATGGAAATTCAAGGCTTGCATGGCAGCATCATGTTGGAAGTACGGCCACTGCCCTGCGCAGGAGATTCCAGCCACAGTGCTGGGCGTTGAAGAGGCCACCCCTGTGATGCTCCGTGCGCACAGCGCCTGATGCCCTTGAGAAAGCAAGATGCTCGCCGTGGATTCGGCTGCTCGCCAGTGCCAAAGATGATCTGGGACTTGGACTTGGGACAACCTGGAGGTTGCCGCCTGGGCCAAGACGGGCCAAGATGCAAGCACTACCGAGCACTCAAGCTCACCGTGCTTTAGCTCCTGGCTTCTACGATTCTGCGCTGTGCGGTCATAACAGGTTGAGTGTCAGGTCGACAAGACGAAGCCCAACCCTCCGTACCTTGTCGCGGGAGGCGATGGCAGAACGGCATGGCAAGCGGAGCCATGGCGGCACCGCCATCTGACAACATGAGCTGCTCGTGAAAACTTGTTCAGCTCGATGCGACTGTCGACTTGCCTGTGTTTGCTTGTGATGCACTTATTCACTCACTGCCCTCTGCTCCGAGGCTCTGCCTAAAGGGTCGGGCGGCTTCCTTCATGCAGGGGGCTTAGTGCTCCCCTGTCCCCTCTCCCCTCGTTGGGGGTCGGCTGCCCTCCACCTTGCGGTAAGCTTTTTGATAAAGACGCCTCACGGCGATTTGGGAGCCTTCTCTGCGTCATGCCTCAAATGGCGCGTGGGCTGGCAGAATGGACCGCGCACATAAGAGGAGCACCGGCATGCATCAGCTGACCACAAACACCTGAAGCGAATCACACCACAGGGGTTGCACGAGACGCTGCGCATTTCCACAAGGCTCGAACAGTTAGTGTGTAAGATCAACTCTGCGACCAGCGGTCGCCCCAAACAACATTCAAGATTCAAGATCGCGTCGTCGCAAGTTCCAAGTTTGGAGTGTGAAGCTTGCAGTAGACACTTGTCGCGCACGCCCCCACACACACACACACACACATGTCTAAGGCCTGGTCAAGAGCGCTTCGCCGAGGACTGGGGTTGATGGGTGTTGGACGTTGGTCTTTTGCACCTTCGCAGAAGTTGAAGAAGTCCGGCGATTCTTCCCTGTAGTGAGCCAGGAGCACCTCTCGAAAGCTTTGAAGCGTGAAGCACAGTACATGCTGTGGGATTGAAGGTCTGTGAGCTTTGAGCTTTTTGGAATTTGGAATGGAGTCGACACAGGCTGGTTTGGCGTCTAGGTCCCGGTTCAAGGTGCTTGGGAGCCGTCAGGTTTGGCATCTTGTTCTTGGAGGAATCCGTGCAGTGCGCAAACCCTGGTGAGTCCCGTGCAAATCCGAGGCTCGACCCGCTCCTGCTGGATGCCTGGAATGCTTTGGGGGAGGCCTCTTGTGGGATTTGGGGACGTTCCAAGAGGGGCGTTGGGGCTCAGGCTTTAGAGATGTGAAGGCTGCAGGCAGCACGAGCAACGTGTGTCAGGTCTACTGGAACCTGCAGGAAGTCTCGCAGGCTACGCTTTGGCAGTTACCTAGCGAGTTAGTGCTAACGGAAGACTGTTCGGGATTTGGTGGGCTGGGGAACATGCAGGAGAGTAGCCGGCCTCATCCGAAGCCCTCGGTGGGGACTCTGTTCATAAAGCGGCTTCAGCCGAGAGGACAGAACTGCACCTTTCGTCCGATCACTCTTTAATGAGGTGGCTGCAAAGGAATAAGACCACATGGACCGAAGAGCACATCCCATACTCTCTCATTCGGCCACGCCGTTTTGAGACCGCACAGGACAGAAGGACACGAGATGCTCATTGTGAGGGGATGTGCCAAAGCACATTAGTACCCGCACTCCGCCACAGATCTGGCGCTCGCAAGGACAATGCACCGAACAGCAAAACACACCAGTCATTCTTCGGGTCGTTGAGCCGTTCGCCATACTGATTGAGATTGCTGGCTACATGATCTGGAGCCAGACCGGGCCATGCCTCCGCACCGAAAAATCGGCTTCTAGGGTGTTTTGGAGGTGCAAGTTGAGTTGAAAGTTCCACGTCTCAGCCACGCTTCCAAGATGTTCACCCTGCCGCCCTTTTTGCTTTGCTAGGCCAAGCGCTGTTTCGAGCAGGCGCTGGAGTGTGAGTCCAATCCGGTCCGTTCCTTGGTCATGATGGGGCCTCGGCCCGTCGCAACAAAACAGCGACCCTAGGTCTCCCTGCGCAACCTCTCCATGACGCTGAGAGCTCTCGACAGCGCCGCACTCAACCTGCAGCCCTCTGTGATGCTTCAGCTTTGAACCCCTTCACTTTTTGCATCCGGAAGCTTGTGTGGCTTGTCTCGATGGCTCCTGCCTCCTGCAAGACTTTGGCACCGTGTTGCACTGCATGCACCAGGCAAGCAATTACGCGTCCATCCAGGATGGCTGAACTGCTAGGACCTTCTTTCAATAGGCCGGCCCAGGCCCAACGCCTTACTGAACAGAACCGAGCTAACTTAGCTTCGCCGTGTTTTTTGCTGATGGGACGCAAGTTAGCCCCCTGAACGATGGTGCAGCTCCTATCCTTGAGCGGCGAAAAGCTGCCGGCGGCTGAACAGCACAGCATAGCACAGCTTTTTTCCACCAGCGGCGCATGTTATCTTTCTTTTTTTTCCCGCATGTGCGTGCGTCAGATTCGGGCAGCCTGCGAGCTCAGCAGCAAGATGCGAGTCTGCTAGTCGCGCAAGCTTCCAGCCAGCATGTTCCGACGCCAACTTGGAGATGCCCCCGAGGTTGATCTCGAAGATGCCGCCACTGTGAAAGATGTCCGAGCGCGTGCAGCCGAAGCGATGGGTTGCGAACCCTCGAGCATTCTTCTTGCCGCTTCGCATACCTTTGCCTGAGAAGGTTCGGGTTCAGCCCAGAGTTGACACATTCTTCGACATTTAGCATATTGTTGAACAAATTTTGTTGCATGAATCTGAGGTTGCCTCGGGCGGAACGGATTGCTTGCAGGATCCACAGCAGCTTGAGTCGGTAAAGTGCACCTCGCTGAATCTTGGCAGCAGTTGCTCTGGCAGATGATGAGTTGCGCCGCGTGCTTGGCTGGGAAAAGAAGGCTGTGTGCTCCAGAGGAAATTTAGACGGAGCCAGACAGTCCAGAGGGTATTGCCTTTCACTTTGCCTCCTGCGCTCCGCGATTCACCTGTCAGCCGCGCTCCACCGAGGACTGTCATCAACCAGTCGTTTGACCCATTGCTGCTAAGACGCTTGGCTCTCAAGGCAAGGGCCATGCGGGTGTCGACGCCCCAGAGGACTCCAGGACTCTTGCGCCAGCTCCCGAAGCAATGACCGAGGACTGGATGAGGCCGAATCCAAAAGGCGCTCCTGCTCCTTTCCTTTCTTGCAAGAGCCGGTTCATCCCTGACAGCCTGTAACTTGATCCAGATGTAGCTGTCGGCAATCTTCACCGAAAGTCTCTGTCATCCTAGGTCCTAGCTACTCCCTGACCCGACAGGAACAGTCCCTTTGAGATGTCAACGCTTGCCGCTTGTAGGACATCCAACAATGATTCTACGACCTTCTGGAAGACATCTAAACTGCTATATGACGGCTCCTGGACTTCATAAATGCTCATCCCAACGTGTGTCCCCCTATGCCCACAACATGCGTGTGTTCCGTATGTGGGCACACGGCCGCCCCAAGCCAGCTCAGGCACGATCATTTGGGAAAGATCCGATCGGCAGTTTTGCGACGACATGGGCTTCCGAGGTTGCTTTTCTGCGACGTGCAGCAACCGTGGGAGTCCTGCAGGAAAGTGGGACTTCCAAGTAGATTGCATGGATTTCTAGGCCATGAGGAAGCCACAAGCGGCCTAAAGACATGAGCACCGTCAACTGCTAGCGCCTGCGAGCGCCTCTTGAGCTAAGCCCATAGCAAAATTCGAAGCCGACCCCCATTCGCAGCTTGGAGGTCGGACTCACGATGTGTATCTGTCGGAATGTCGCAAGCTGCTGTTCTGCCGGGCCGGACGATCGGACGTACTTAGCGCTTTGCTGTGCTTTGTTTGTTGGGCATTGGGGTTTGGCTGGTTTTTGCCATGGCGGTTATACTTCGTCTTCCTGCGAAAAGCGGGATTTCAGGGATTCAGGTTCTGCCCGTGGTCTTTGATGAACCCAGCCCCAATCTCTCTGAACAGGCAGTATCCCAGCACTCGGTATTTTAAAGCCATGGGCCTCCAGCGATGTGAGGAAATGCCTTTGGCCACAACATTCCTCACACTGCCATCTGAACGACCGAATCATGTGGCCTGAGCGATGGCCCAGGAATCCTACGGAGGAGCGGCGTGCCCGAATACGAACCGCCGGCTCCTAGCCTGCGGTTTTTTGGCGAAAGGCGACAGGCTTAACTGCAATAGCAAGTGCTGAGAGTTGCTAGGTGAGCTGAACCATGAATCCAATGAAACCCCCCTAGTTGTGGTGAAGCATGTTCTGCCAGGTGCCTCATAGACATGATCGGAGTCGCATAGGAGGGTAGAGGAGCCACCCCTTGACTCCAGTAGGCAAATCTTTCATGCAGCAACACCATGCCACATGACACCTTCAAAAAGAATGCCGCGAGCAGCTCAGGAACCTATAAAGGTACAATCGCTACTTCGCAAGAAGGGCCTGCGATGATTGCAACGCTGAAGCCGCGCCTTCTGATGCCAATGCAGGGCGCGTAATTTATGTCAGGAGGTGTTTTGTGCTTTCGGCTACAGGCCCTGGCATCAAACCCCTGCAAGCCGTCGACCCACGGATTTGCCCCGTCGAACCACGGATTTGCCACGACACGCCTACCGAAAAAGACGTGGTTCATGTGCCTCCGAGGAGGTTGCGATAGAGAGCTTTGCAGCTGTGTCGAGTCTTTCGTGGATGTACGGCTTTGACAAGATTGATGCAGATTGATGCCTATTGATGCCTGAGCACTGAGATCCATATCAAGAAGGGGGCCGAGAAGATCCTGTCAAGGTTCGGTGGCACACCACACTGCATGCAACTGTGGCAAGAGCCAAGAGGGGGGAGAACTTGCCGGGCCTAACTTCAGGCCTCCTCGCGCCGCGAGAACTACGCCAAGGTGCAGCCGTTGGCGTGTTTGCGTTTAGGGCGATTAGAGCACAGAGCCTTTAGGCCGTCGGTTCCGGCAATTCCGGTGTTGCCGAAGGCGCTGGACAAAGCCAAAGAGGCAGTTGCCCTGTCGCCTGTGGACCCCCTCAACTGGGAGACGCTCCTCGACAGCTTTGTTGAACCGAAACCTGCTACAGAAACTTTGAAACAACTCGTAGCAGTCGTAGCTAAGCTGGCCATAGCCGCTTTGTTTAATTTAATTCTTGCAAGCATCCCGTTCCGGCCAAGGCTCGGGAACGCTTATGCAGCACACCTAGAGAGCAGGGCCTCGCCATTTACTTCAAAAACGCAGAGTTTTTTCGCAGCAGCACTGCGCAAAAGAGAATGGTCGCGGCTCACAGAATGGAAGGTCGGCAACTTCTTCGTCAACGCAAAGAGACCGGACGAAATCAAAAGGTGCCTTGGCTTCCAGCATGTTGACGGGCCGCAAAAGCATTGACTCTTTGCAATCTAATACCAAACCGCTAAAGACGGACAGCAGTGACAACATGTTATAGATAGCTGCGGCTGCCGCAAAGGGCCTTGATCGCTTACGAGAAGGGCGAAGCGGCCTACGAAAAGCTGGCGTCCTCGGACGTGGGATTGGACTGGGTCTTGTGCCAGTTCTAGCGCGTGCAACCTGGCAACAAGCTCTTGCTGCCACGGGGCTTGACAGTGCAAGGCTGGGCAAGCGCAACCCGACTCTTCACTTCAACCGGGGAATGGCGGCAAAGTACGTCGAGGTGGGAAGACTCTAAGATCACGCCGGGGCCAGAACTGCCAACTTGGTTTAGGGCTTAGAGGCTACAGGGCACGGCTCAGGGCTGCGGGGCTTTGATCTCTTTAGGCAAGCGGCGGACTTACATTGTCTTAGCCAAGTCTGTGTTCACACCAACCCAGCTGCATCAAGCACTCCAAGCTCCTCAGCCTTAAGCAGTTGAAACTCACGAAGCTCAGCCCACAACTCCAACCAGGACTACGACTTGGCTTCGCGCTCCTTGGCTGTGGCAATCGAGCGTGGACCTCAGCGCTGACAGGCCTGCTCCATGGCATGGCCCCCCATCAGCTTGGGCTCGGCGCCGGCTGGGGATTCATTTCAGACACAGAACGTCGAGGGTGAGGATGTGTTTTTTTTGAAATTCCTTTTTGAAGCGGGGCATGAGCGAAGGAGCGATGGGGTGTAGTGGTTTAGGCGCCTGGGCCAAGGATTGGCGCAGCAGGTGCGGCCGAAGAACGCCAGAAGGCAGAGCCTGATGCCGAGAGTCATCCGAGATGCCTTTGAGGCTCGTAATAGTTCGTAACCTAACACGCCTGATGAACAATGGCCTAGCCACATTAGGACTCATGCTAGCGAAAGCTGGTGTGTGTGTGTGTGTGTGTGTGTGTGTGTGTGTCTCTGTGTGTGTGTGCATGTATATATATATATATGTATATTATGTGTTTTTGTTCATTTTTTGCATATGTACGTATCTCCTCGTGCTTTTAAATTGTGATTGCATATCGCACATAAAGTCCGTGCAGGTGTTGGCTCTTGTCGACAGCTTGGCGGACGGGTTTCTTCATTTTTCGCGCTTAGCACGTCAGACCTCTCAACAGTCAAGTTGCACGGTCATTCTTCAGGGACTCTATAAGTCGTTGGCTTTCGGAGCACATGAGAAACGGCACGTGTCGTGTCGCCTTTCCTGTCAGATTGTCGGCTTTGCAAAGTCGGCCTTGTTTTTGTCTCGCTGGGGCCTGTTCTTGTTTGTTGTTTGCGTCTTGTGGTTGCCAAATGTTTGGGAGACCTAATCATACCAGCATGCTCGCGATGAGTTGTTGATGCTGCGGTGAGTCTGAGAAGCTGTGTTGAATGGGCTTGCGCTGGCTACAGCCAGAAAGCTTGAAAGCTAGCAATGCTAGCACAGCAAATGCGGGGGAGTCATGCACTGAAGCCGTCACTGCAATACAGATGCCACATCCTGTTGCGTCTCAAAGCGGGTGTCGGTGAACGGAGAAGTCTGGGACTTGTCTTGGTTAATGCGGTCTTGGCTGGCTCCGGGCGGAGGCACCAAACCCCTAGCCTTCTGAACTGTCGTTGCCAGTGCGGGGACCCAGCAGCTGAAGCTTGAGAGCCCAAATTCAACAGCTAGTGATGATGAGGATGATGATCTGATGTTCTGCTTGCCATATAGTCATTTTGCAATACCAGTCGCGTTGCAGGAGCACTTGAACAAGAAGTGTGACAAGAAGAAGCTGAAGGATGGGGGCTTCTTTTGGGGGGAGTTGAGAAGTCCTGGCCTTCTTGGATCCGCCCCCAGGATCTCAGCCCCACTTTTCCGGACAACTCAGCGTGGCTTGGCGAGACAGTGGGAGGGAGGACAGCTCTCAGCAGCTCAGTTCCGGGGATCCGAGAAACCTTTGGCCTTGATTCGGGCATTACTTTGAGGCTGTGAAGGGGTACACGGGAGCAAGGCGGCTTTTCTGTAAGCGTGCCTTCTTGAGTGTTGCTTGGGGCAGTTTTCCCGCACCTGTCGATGTGGCAGTGCCTTCCCCTAAAGTCGATATAGCTTGGGATGTTCCCCCTTGTACAAACAGTCCTTATTAACAATTATAGTACCCCCTATTGTATTCCCTATGAAGGACATTGAAGGACTGTTAGCATAAGGGGGAACATCCCAAAAAAACGGCAGTTCCCAGCCCTGGGCTTCACAAGGTACAGCAAAATCAAGGTTGGGGCCTCGGACCTTCAGTGAAGCTCGCAGAGTTTCTGCAGCTGCTCTGGGCTGCCAGGGCACCTGATAGTCAAGAATCGTAAAGGGCGCAGACAGGAAAAACCGCTGTGGGTCTGTGGGTTGAGAAGCTTGACAATTACTAGGCCTGAAACAACGCGCCGATCTCTGCACTAGCCTTTGGCTCAAGCTCTACATTTTTTCAGGTTTTTTCTCAGCCTTGCTGAGTCTCCTCGAAAGCCAGTGCCGAATGACTGAGGCCTGTATGTTGAGGAGTTCAGGATCAGGTTGCGCTCAGACAAGCCTGTGTAAAAAAGGTTGGGGTTTTTGACGTTTTCGGGGTAGTGGGGGGGGGGGGGGGGGAATACCGTCATTCATGCGACCGAGCCCAAAACAAAGGGGGGGGGGGGGGGCATCCATTCGTGTGGCGACCATGCCCAAAACACTGGTATTTTACAGCGATTTTACTTTGTCACTTTCTCGATCCGGATCAGGCAAATCAAAAACCGCGACATCGGAACGCGCAGTGGCCCGAAGCAGTACTACTTCGAAACTTCAAGCTCCGAAGTGCAGCCTCCCAAGTCTTATTTTCAGCCCTGGAACTGAATCCTTCTTGCTGAACGGCCAAATTCATCGCGTGCCAGCTTGTCCCTATCTCCGCCATGGGGTTAGATCATCATGCGCTAGGCACGTGAACGAAAAACCGCGCAGATCTCTCAGACAACGCCGTCCGTCGGAAAAGTCCGAGCAAACGCTGTTTGGGTGTCAGCCATGGGCTGCAGGAAGAAGCTTCCCCGGAGAAGGACGAGGACCCGACAGTTGCATCCTGGCATGACTAGGAAGGCGGAAATGACCGCCCAGCCCAATTTCAATACTTAGAGACCATGCCCCGCGTGTCAGCATGCAAGAAGTCGCCAGGCATGTGTGGATACTTTGTTTGCGCATGTGCACATACACACGTTCTGTGCGTACGCACGCGCACGCAGGGTGTGCATGTAAACACGCAGAGACAGTGTGCGCCTACATACGCGGCAATGGACAACAATACCAGAATATTCTCAAGTGCCGCTGGGTGCTATGTAGTGGTGCCCAAAGCTGCTCAGGAAAACTCAAAGGAAAGTGTGAATGACATCCCGAAGAAGCACCATGGCGGCTGCCTCAGTGTTCCGCGGCTCAGGCCAAACAGCCCCGAGTCCTTTCAGGCACTTGGTGGCAGGTTTCGTGTAGGTCAACCAAAGAATCGGATTTCGACCACTGACCTCTCCTGCTGTGTGAACGTCGAAGCACGTAGCGCCAAAGCGCTGAGGGTGAGGGATTTCGGGCTTGGGTAGGGTTGGGTTGTTTGAGCCACAATGCGCTAGCCCCACGCCCTGAGCCCAAAACACCGGTCTGCTTGGCGGGCGCGTCAACAAAAACAAAAACACCTCCGAAGCTCCGGATTCCATGGTAACCCAGATCTACTCCTGACTGTGCGTCATTTGGGCCCATCTCGCACTTTGGCCCACTTCTCAGGTTTTCGTCCTGCATGCCGCCCGGAAGTGCCCACTGGCATCGTGCCTCCAGTGTGGTCCTCAGAGCCCAGAGCCTGAGCATCTCTGCCCGGTAATCCTCACTAGGAGCACTCTTTTCGCCTTGAAGTTCGCCTTGAAGTCAGGCCAGAGAGGTGGCGACGCAGGCAGGGCGTCTGAGCATGGGGGCTTGTGCGGCCTAGGCTGAGGCCTCCCCCCCCCTTGCCCAGGACAAACAAGTGGAGAAAAGCATAGAGGCTCCGGCTCTTGGTCCGGAGCAGGAGCCCAAGGCAAAGCCAGACTCGTGCAAGCACGGCGTCAGGGTCTCAGCCGATGGTGGAGCAATGATGTGGGAACATAAAAAGGAAGGCGGTCATGGTCAGAATTTAGGATGCGGCGTCCAGAGTTTGGAAGTTGTGGGCGCAACATAGCCTTGCCCCTCGGCCTGAATACTTTGGTGCCGCAAGGCCATCGGCTCCCACTCCTTCGGCACGATGTTGGCAGTGATTGCACTGCTGATGCTGGGACTTTGCAGCTTCCAGCTGCTGCAGCAGAGACGCATGACTGAGCAGCTCCTCACGAAGCAGGAGCTGATGATGATGATGATGATGATGATGATGATGATGATGATGATGATGATGATGATGATGATGATGATGATGATGATGATGGATGATGAGGTTGAAGTTGGTTTGTGTCTGCGCCCACGTTGATGCTCATCGTTGACCCTTTCTCTGCCCGGATTGTATGCCCTCTGCTCTTATCAGACTTGCTTCTCGGAAGGAAGGTTTTGCACGGGGTTCTGGAGCTTGCCCAGGTCCCTAAACTCTGAACTCTACTTCAGGACGCTCTGCATTACATCCTGCACCAACGCCTTGAACTGAACCCTAGAAGCACAATCGCAAGAGAGAGAGTGGGACTAAACGGGGAGGGCACAATCTGCCGAAGCCTTTGCTTAGTTAATTGACCTATTTTTGGGTGGACACTGATATAGTTGGAATTGATGACTGAATTTGGTGAGGCAGGTGTGGTTGCTTGCTGCCGTGTTAGCTCTGGTGATCGCGGTTGACGGCAGGACAAGATCCACCGAGGCGAAGTGCGTCGGCTGAACGAACGGCTAGTGGACATGAGTGACCAGAACCTTGCGCTTCTTGCTCGGAGAATGCGAGGATTTGGCTTAGATGCTCGCTGCCTGGGGTCGGGCATACATCATTCATAATTGTGCTGCAGGGGTTAAGGATGGAGCAGGGGTTACTGAAGCAGCTTCCGGGCAGTGTGTCAAGACTAAGGGGTCCGCACGCGCACGCGGGGGCGCGGCCTTAACCATGGGTTTTCTTGAGGGCTGCGGGCTTTGCGGTTAGTTCTTGAGTCTTGAGGACTCCCGAGACATCCCTTTGCATGGGCAGGCGCAGCACTTTCGGCTTTCGGCTCCGCCGAACATGGATTCGCGTGCGTTGCGGAAAGTTTTTGTTGATTTCACACTTCGTTCAGGGGCTCCTCTAAGAGGCCACAGCTCTGGACCTGTTGCCTCACGAAATGCGACAGCGAGGATGCCGGAGCTGCGGTACTTGCAAAGTCGGCTTTAGTAGTAGAAGCGTAGTATGCGGAGGAGCGCGAGGAGGTCGACTTGAGACGTTGAGTGCTCTTGAACTTCTCTTAGAGACGTTCTTGGAGTGCACTTTTTGAGGGGGGTCTTTTGGAGTGCTTTGTACAGTAGGCTTCGAGTGCTTTGTGGGGTCTTACACTTGGGGCCTGCGCTCGCATAGCGACAAGCCATGAGCTCACGCCTGGTGGGCCACGGGCCACCCCCGATTCCTTGCCCCATCTTGAGCTCCCTACAGCCCCAGAATTGAGCCTCCGAGCTCTTGATACCTCAAGCCCTGAGACAAGTCGCTAAATCCTAAAACCCCTGAGCTCTCAGATGTTTGGGCGCTCCCTAGGCTTCAGCAGAGGGCCACGGCGTTTCAGACCAGGACCCAGGAGCTGCAGCGCGAGGCCAGGGAGGTTGGGATTTCCGGCTTTGGGGTCGGTATGAGATCGGTTGAGGAGGCCCACATACTGCCTCGCAGGGCTCCTGTCTCGGAATGTGCAGAAGCCGAGCTGAAGGGGAAGCTGCCAAATATCGAAGAATCTCCCAAAGACATCCTAGGCCCTCAAAGTTCCAAAACCCAAATCCTTGAGCCCCCGCTCAACTGAGGCTGAAGAATACGAGACTGCGGTCTCCATCCGCGACGGCGCCCTCCGCGAGCTGGAAGGGGAGCTGGCGAGTGCCCAGGAGGCCTCGGCTCAGTTCGGGCACGGGAACCCCACAGTCCACAGGGTTTAGGGAAGTTTAGGGTTTAGGGTTTAGGCTTAGACTTTGGGGTTTGGCTGAAAAGGTTCTCGCGCTGTTGTTTCCGTGCTGGTCATGGATTTCCTCTCGCGACCAAATGGCAGGCCACATGTTCTGGCACAATGTAACTCCACGGTTGTGGCCCTTAGAAGCACGCAAGAGGCATTCCATGCTGAGTCTTCGTGCTCGGTTTGAGCTTTGGCTGCGTCCCACATGCGACAGATAAATGTCTCAAACCCCTCAGCATCTGAGCAACAGAAACACCTAAGCGTAAACCACCGGAACACTGTGTTTGAGGAGCAGAATGCTACTGTCGCGAAGCTTGCCCAACAGCACCTCGGATTCCTCAGCAGCGCTTTTGGACTGCCAGGTTTTTGTTGCTGGCCTAGTCCTAAGTTTTTTGGGACAGCTACTGACTGCCTGATTAATCCAGCATCATGGAAATCATGTTGTGCCCCGGCGGGCCGGCTGGGTTGCGCAGATCTGCCATGGGCTTCAGGATGAGCCGGGACACCGGGATGTTGGAGGAGGACCGCAAGAACATGAAAGAGTCCCAGGCTGTCCTGAGCGCCCAGGCCCGTGCTTTGGAAGGCCCTTCGACTGCACGGGCACATGACGCCCGACCATACGAGAGACATGACAAAGGGGGAAGCTGAAGAGCGAAGCCGGGTGAAAGCAGAGTGTCTAGAGCCTTCCTTCATACCGGGGAAAAGGTTGGAAGTTGAAATTCTCACGTTGAGTTGTTGGGTGGAAATGACTTGACCCGGGAGGAAGCGAGAACAAGAAAACAACATTCTGGGGGTCAGGTCAAGCCTGCTCCCGCACAAGCCAAGGTCAAGGCGAGCAGGCGACCCGCGATGAACGCATCGCGACGGCATTCTGCTTGGGGCAATCACGGCTACGGTATGGGGTTGGCCTTGCTGTGCGTGGGGGCCAGGGCTGGAAAAACCATTTCGACCAGCAGCATGTCGTTAACTCTGCTGATGTTTGGAAAGCAGTTTCTGGCTTCTGGGTTAGCGGTTAGCGACGGAGTGCTTGATGCTTCAGGTCAGATTCGACAGCTCCGCCATGATCTGGAGGTAGCCGCGCTGGATGGAAGTCTCAACACTGGCTGAGATGTTGCTAACGGCTAGCGGCTAGCGTAGAAGCTTAACTGCTCC